ATGAAACTTAAACTTTATAAACTTTAAATAATTGCCAAAATTTTCATGTCAAATCACCAAGAAATTTAATTAATGCGGAACATACCTTGATTCATTTATTTGTATTTTGAATAATGAATAATGAATCTTGATCTTTAGTTCTTTAATTTAGTTGTTCCAAATCTTCTTCTTGATTTTTGATTCTTAATTGTGGGTTTATGGATCTTCCTCTTCAATATGTTTTTTCTTTTATTTTTGTGTTAATGGGATAGCACAAAGAATGAGAAAATCACATATGAATTGAGGACAACAACCATATATATAGTTCCATATGTATTCAGGTCATCGTCAAATACAAACCCTAATGGATTTGGTCTCTACACATATAGTCCGACCCACACTTTATTTAGATGCCCAAAGCGCAATTACTTAATTTTTTATTAGATCACTTTAATTTTGACCTTAACTTTAAGATAGCCTTCATACACAATCAATTACATATGTCGGCCCACATAGCAAATTAAATATTTTCCCAACATCTCCATCTTTTGCCAATGAATAATTCACTGTATGAAATTAAATTTATAAAAGAAAATTGCACATCTATATCTTCTAACCTCCATTTCTCTCTTTTATGATACTAATTAAGAAATCTAATGACGGTTCCCTATTTATAAGACAAATTAGAACAAAATCGAAATTTACAAGGATTCAAATTTTCAAGAAGAAATTTACAACGAATCAATTTTCTAAATTGACATTAAAGAAATTTTGTCCATGGACTCTAGCCCACACCCAGAAGGAGGAGGGCTTCATACACCCTTCTAAACCTCACGGCAACCTCACTACGAAGGTTGATACCGACTCCACAAAGCTATAGTAATTAATCTCCACAACTTAACGTCAACTTCTCGCCTAGACAACTTATAATGATACCAAGTGCGTAAGGATGACAAAACGTTCTGCTCTATCCTATTTTTGTTTTAAAAGGAGTCAAATTCCTTTGTTAGAGAATCAAGTGAGGATAGAGAACATGTCCATTCCATCTAATTTTCTATACTTTAAGATTTAAATCGTCCTATTTTTGTTTTGAATGGAGTCGAGTTCTTTCATCACAGAATTGAGTGAGGATAGAGAACATGTCCATTTCATCTAATTTTCTATACTTTAAGTATTTAAATTTAAATGCGTAGTTACAAAATGAATAATGAGTTAATAAGGAAGTGAAATGGGACCATTTTAATCTTCATTGAGTTGTCACCCATAAGAGCATGTTTGACTTTGCTGTAAAAATCGTGGGAATCAACTTCTTTCAATCTATTTTTACATGATCCTTCCTACTATTGAAAAACTCACACTTATCAAATACTCCAAATTTATTAGTCTGAATTATAGTTTCCACGAGTACTATTATGTAATACTTAATTTACTATTTCTAACTCCTAAATGATGAAAAAAAAAAAAAAGAATTTAGTTTGTGATTGATTATCTAAATTATTCTAATCATACTAATGGTAATGCGCACAATTAATTGAAATTTGGGTTTTAAAAGTACAAACATCATACAGTACTTACAATTTTGTCTATGGATCCTTTTTAATTAGTTAATCAAAATTCATAAATATTGTAGTGTCTGATCGAATTCTTCTAAAATATTAAATTTGCTCATGTTGAGTTTAGATTAATTCTATTTAACTAAGTCAATTTTGTAACTCTATGTAAATCCAGATACACCTTAGTTAAGAAAATGTATCGATACATTTGTATACTAGTTCCCAGATTTTACTATATGATGTAAGCCAATAACTCACCACTCGACTTATTATAGATTCATAAGATCATTGAATTATTGGCTAAGTAATTCGAAGCATTAAAACCCATAAATAGAATCAACACATAAAAATTAAACTACTATAATTTTGAAAATTAAATTAAAGGATCATACATAGATTACATTGTCTATCCTAATTAATGATTTAGCTACTCATACTAAAAACGAAAGAATAATAATATATATAAAAGTTTAGAATAACTATAAAAAGAGTCATTTATCATACATGATGTAGAATTTGAATATAAATAGGAAATCAATAAAAACTGAATTTTTTTAATAGTTAAGTGCACTTTGGTCCTCCACATTAAGTCTCATATGTCCTCTTCACTTGCATGACATGTCCTCATATTTAAAACTTGATTATTTTGATCCCCAATTCCTCAAAATTTTATAGCATTAATCCAATTTCTTCCTAGATTGTACAATCCAAAATTTACCTAAAATTAGTATAATTTAACCTAAATTGTGTAGATATTCGCTCAGTATAGTAATAATTATAAAGAATCGAATCCTGAAAAAATATATAAAATACACTTATCAACCCTTAGGAGAGGCCGAACCCTGATGAACTAAGCTAGGTGCTGTAGGGATCTCTCATAGAAGATCTCCTATAGTTGATTGATGTGACCACTCACTGTAATAGCCACTCTTATCAAGTCTAGTCCTTACATATCGTCCTAGGTCATATGGCCACAAACAGTTAGGAACATTAAATGTGAACCTAGGAATTTTAGCACTAGTACTTTGGCGTGAGCTATTTCACATTGGTTGAACTTGTGCTCTCCTAACTGTTGACCTATGGTTGACTTCGAGTTTTGATTATAACAAACAAATTATTTTTATCTCTAACATTTATATTCGAGTCTTCATTGTTACATGTTACGAACCTGATCGAAATCGAGCATTCACAAATCAAGCTTACAAATTGAGCATTCGCGTTAAGACAATCGGAGACAAATTAAGCACTTGCGTCAAATTCAAAATCAAGCAACAAATCGTGCACTCACGCCAAATCAATCAAAGATATTAGACTTAAATGATTTGAATCCATATATAAAGGTAAAATCCTTTAATTCTTAGTAATAAATCACTTCAAGCTCGTAGGTTAAATTTATGCACGAGATAAACTTTTCACAAAAACACTCGCATAAAAATTATTTCCGATGTGACCAAAATCCTCACTTGACTTTAAAATTCTTTACCAATGACACTTATTTTGAAAATGTAATATATACCTAAAGTATTTACACGTGCTTAAAAATCAAGAAAAGAGAAAACCAGAAATTTCTGGTCTCGCAGACGCCAGTGGCTTCAATGGTCAAATTTCTTACCGTTCTAATTTTTGACGTATAATGGCTATTTTTAGGGATAGAAAAATGGCTCGACAGCTCGGGCTCAGCCTCGAAAAAGCCCAAGCTAGGTCGGCTCGTGGGTCGATGGGATCAAGCCAAGGCTCAGGCCAAGTCCCATTTTGGGGCATTGACTCGAGCTCGAGCTAGCCCGTGGCTCGCACCAGCCCGTGAGCTGAGTATAAAAAAATTATTTTTTATTTTTTAGTTTTTTAATTTTAGCTGTATTTTTTTATACGTTAATATTAAGTTATTATTTATAATACGTATAAATTGTACAAATTTTAAATTCATTTAAAAAAAATTTAGATTTATAGCGAATTTTTTATTAAAAAAAGAGCCAGCTCGGCTTGGTTTGCTAAAGCTCGAGTCGAAAACCTCAGGTCGAGCCTAAATGTTTTAACCGAGCAACTCAGGCCAAAAAAAGCTCGAGCCATTTTTACTCGAGCCGAACCCAAGCTTCGAGTTTTGGCTCATTGATACCCCTAGCTACTTTCAATCGTCTGGTTAGTAGCGAATGTCCTGTAGGGGTCATTCGATTGGGCAGAACTTTTTAACGTTTTGACTTGTATAAATACCACATCACTTTAAAATCATTACACACATTCAAAAGCATTCAAGTGAGATTCTTTTGAACAAAATTGCATTGATTTCTCATATCATTTATTATCAAATCATTTTAATCTTGAAAAACTTTTGATCAAATTAATTTTTGAAAATCATTCTACACATCAAAGTTTTTCATACCTAACACTTGAGTTTCATTCATTTCTATTTATTAAAGTGTTAGCACATTTTTCCCCTGGTACTAAATTGATATCATATCATTTATTAAGAGAGAAGTTTTGATTTGTATAATCTACTTTCTTTGTACTTGTGGATCGTGTTGCGGTCCCGTAAAGTTCAACATTGTAAAATAATCAACGCTCCTTGTTTATAAGTCACAGAAGCTTTGTAAAGGGTTGTATTACAACACAAGTCAATCAACATAGTGAAATTGGTCTTGCTCGTATCGAAGAGCTTGGTAACGGAGGACGTATATCATTGCGTTGGATCAAACCTTCATAATTTTATCGTTTGCATTCGCTATCTCTCTCTACTTATTACTTTCATATTCATACTTATTATTTAAATTAATCTATCTAGTTATTACATGTTTGATTTTAGATTACTTTTTTGACCCTCCCCCTCCCCCTCTTTATTAGCTATTATTGGGTTATCATAAGTTCTTAATTGCGATAGGATAACACAACACACATACTATATGAAGTTTAAAAATGTTAGAAATGGTGAAATAAAAATCCTAATATGTAACATTTAGATGAGAATAGTTGTTCTAACTAGTTTGTTCTCTCACAAATTTTTTAACTTGATACTATATTTAAAAAAAAAAAAGGCTTCAATTTTTCAAACTTTCACGAGGGTATGATTATTAATTTCAAACATTTGAAAGTGAGGTTTTAAATCTCTAACTTATGATTTTTAAAATTTGAGTCCCCACATATTGCTACCGTATTCAATCATTTGAAGATTTAAGTTCATGAAAATAAAATAGATTTGCCACCTATATTCGGGGATGAAGTTAGGAGGATAATTTTTTTTTATTTTTTTTTACTATGTTGATACATAGCCCTTATTTGATAATTGGTATGATTAAAATCAGATTTTTAGTCAATTTTAATAAAAGTTGATAAAATATGAATAAAATTAATTGTTGATTTTTATTTAAATTTAAAATTTTATTTTAATCAATACCATACACGGCATATAAATTTCTTATTTCATAAAAATATATTTTTAAGTAAAAAACTAAGTGGGCCAGCCAACTGGGGCGGTAGATGTCAACTCCACGTACCCACCCCAACCCCCATCCTAGCCTCATCCCACTTCTATATGATAGTGCCCTCATTCTGCAATTGAATGTTCAGTTTTTGCGCCACCGACCTCAGCCACTACGCCCACCGCTTTCTTACTCCACAGCTTTGTTCCACCGCTCTCCACCGCTAAATACCCTTTTCAATTATTGCCACAGAGAGAGAGAGAGTGGAAATGGTGAGAAATTGATACTAACAATGGAGTCTGCTAATAACGTTGTTGCGCCATTTGTTATGAAGACGTATCAAATGGTGAATGATCCAACGACAAATGGAATTATTACATGGGGAAGGGGTAACAATAGTTTTCTTGTTGTGGACCCTTTGGATTTTTCGCATAGGATTTTACCAGAATACTTCAAGCACAACAATTTCTCAAGCTTTATTCGGCAACTCAATACCTATGTGAGTCAATACTTTGGGAATTATAATACTTTCATATAGTTATGTAAGTAATTTTATCATTTGATAATAATTATGAACAAATACGAGTACCATAGTAGACAGTTATTAATTTCAAAATGTTATTGCTCTGCCTACTTGCCAATTTCCAGAAATATAGGGCGTTTGTTGTTTACTTTGAATTTTCTCTACGCTGATTATCTTCTGATAAAGCTTCAGATTGAGTTGTATTGGCTGTCTAAATGAATAAATTTGTGAATTCTACTACTACCTGAATTTTTAGACGAGATAGTTTGAGGTCAGAATTCAAGCTTTGCGGTCATCCATATGAACATTGGCTTTCATGAAAAGTAAACTGGCTTTAATTTAAATTAGTCTTCTAAACTCTTAAGACATAGGCGGTTTAATAGTTTACAGAACAGAAATGGAGAGACCGTCTGCTTTTTCACTTTTACTTTATTTGTGGGACAACAAGCTTTGTTCTCTTCCCTGTGGGAGATATATTTAATTCAAATATCTATAGTTTTCAGTTGTAGCCACCCCTGACTCGAGATTTATCTGCTGATTCCGTTGATGAAATCAATTTCTTGACAAACATTTTGTTATAAAGATTAATTGGTTGACTTTTGCATATGCATAATGTTTCTGAATTTCAGTTGAATTATTTGTTCGGCATAATCCAAACTCTATCGCAGCTTGGAAGGAAAACTGTGCTTTTGAGTATCATTAGTCTCTGTTCTCACATGAGTTTTGATGCGTCAGGGTTTCAAGAAGGTAGATCCAGACAAGTGGGAGTTCGCAAATGAGTGGTTTCTACGAGGGCAAACTCATTTGTTGAAGAATATTTCGAGGAGAAAGCATTCTAGTCAACACTACGTTTCTCTTCATAAACATGAAGAAAATGAAGATGAAGAGCTATTTAAGGAAATTGCAAAGTTAAAGCAAGAACAAAAGACCTTAGAACAAGAGCTTGAAGGCATGAGTAAAAGGCTAGAAGCAACAGAAAGGAGACCACAACAAATGATGACTTTCTTATACAAAGTTGTCCAAGATCCCGAGATATTACCTCGCATAAATCTCAAAAAGGAAAAACTGAAAAGATTGAGTTGTTGTAATAACGGTGAAAAGAAGAGAAGGCTCATTACATCTTCAGCTACTTCATCACATTCTTTATCAGAAATGGATTTGTCCAGCTTTTCTGTCAAGACCAAGTACGAGCAAGAAGGTGCTGCACAAGAAAAAATATCAAAAATATTCTCCGTGGATGTAAACTTGGATGTTGATAAGGGTTATCAGTCTTCTCCTTCGCTGGAGGCATCATCCCCCGAGTGGTTGAGCCGAACACCAGTTATTGGTATGCCTGTTATCAAGCAAGAATCTGAGAATTGTGCCAGCATTTCTAGTTCTTCGACAATAGGCTTGTCTGGTGGGAATGGAGGTTATGTAGTTGCACCACCAGTTGACAGTATTGCTTGGTGTAATGATAGGGGTGGAATGAACACGAGTTACCCTGAAGGGATTTTGGATGGGAAGGATGCTAGTCCGCCACTGCCATATCCATTCTCTCTCTTCGGTGGTGGTCTTTAGAGTTAATAGTTATTCTATTTCCCTTTTCTGTGTAATGAAAGTTCCTTGTGTATGTATTCTACATGTACGTTGACATTTCATATGTATTTACTTTTCATAACCACCTTGTGTAATTTCATTATAATTTTTTTGGTTAGATAGGTACACACTGTTGGTTGGGCGTGCTCGTGTTGTATTTTATTTATTATACTTTGTTTTATAATGTAGGAGCAGCGCAGTGAAGTACCAGGTGGGGGTAGTGCATGAATTTTTTGCCCTCTACCTGTCTCTTTTATGAGTCCATATTTGGTATGCAATATTACACCGTATTGCTGTATTTCTTTTATTAGTTATATGTTACTCTGCAACATTTGACCATTGTGAACTTGCATCATTAAAATCTGTTTGGATTCCATCAAAAGACGTCATTTCCGACTGTAATAGCAACTTCTTTTCAAATGTTTATCCATTCTTTAGGTGCACATTTGTATGTAGTATTAAATCGTAGTGTCTGTGTTGCTCTACGACATTTGGCCATTGTGAACTTGCATGTTCATTCAACTTCATTTGGTTTCCATCAATTGATGCTTCCAAATGTAATAGCAACAACTTTTCACACCTGTCCTCCATTCTCTAAGTGCATGTTTGGTATGCATTTAATAGAAAGTTGTCTTTGTCCATTCAGCTTTGTTAGGATTCCTTCAAAAAGACGTTAGTCCATTCAACTTTGTTTGGATTCCTTCAAAAAGACGTTGTCTTGACGTAAATAGCAATAACTTTCCATATCTTCAGACTTCCCTTTGTGACAAGAAAAGGATGCTTTACAAAGTTGCCGGAGGGATAGTACAACAAATGAAAAGATTCTTCCTTTCCTTAAATAAACAAAATCAAGACATCCTCTAATGAAGGCATCTCAACCTTAACAACAATCAGGTTCCTTTGTTGAAACACAAGTCTTTACAGATACTTTTATTCTTATTCTTATCCATATACAACATATTCATTAATTAATGATATTTAACAAAAAAGGGTCGTTTTCCACTTTTTCTCCATCAATTTTTTCTACGGAAAATGAACTCGATGATTGATCCAGGAACGTCTGAATTCCCGAGTTTCATGTCCGGACAGGCAAGGATTCTAGTATTTTCACATAAAGTATTATCTTTGTTCATTTTCACATTTTCCCGATATCAGAAATTTTGTCTGAATGCTTCTAGTATCGAGGAATATTTTAATCAGTCTCTATATGTATTCAAGAATCTCACACGACTGCTATAATGGTCATGATGCAATCTAGTGTTTCGAAAAAAAATTCACGAAGTAATCTAACGGGATTTGAATATATGAATTATTTTTGAGAAAACAGGTCTGGATGGTGATGAGGATTAATCTTGATTGCAATTCTTGTTGCAGAAAAATGAGAAGAGTCCTTCTCAAAATGAAAGGTAGCTAGTCATGTTAATGAATGATTTCTTTTGATGCCAGTTAATGACTCAATTTTTCTGTTGATCTCGTTTCATTGATTGAAGAAATTGAGACACGCTTGATAGAGAAGCAGGAATGCAGGGTAAGTGTCTGTGGAAGGTTTATTCCTGGAGATGTAGCGATAAAAATAAGTAAAAAGATGAAGCGCAGAGTCGAGATTCTGGAAATTCAAGAATTCAGCAATATCGATGGACATACAGAACAGATGCCGCCACACATTCCAGGCCATATCCTAGCACAACATGCATAGAATTTTCTGAACTTAGAAGTCCATTTTAGCATATTAAAACTTGTTTTCATATTCCAAGACAGAATGAGAGAAACAGATGCTTATCCAATGTAGTTGTAAATTTATTTGACTCTGTGCAGCTGCTGTTGAAACTTAACTTTTATAAAATTAGAAACTTTAGAACTTGAAAACTTAAATTCCTTTATGATCATCCATGTCAAATTACTAAGAAAATTAATAATGACATACCTTAATTACTTGAGAATGATTCTTTAATATCAGATCTTGATTCCGGATCTTGAATCTTAATTATGGGGTCGTTTGGTTATTGAGTTCTTGATCATGATTTTGGCTTATTGCTTCATAATTTTGATTGTCTTGTTCTTCAATTTAATTGCTATAATCATTCTTCTTGATTTTTGATTGTGGGTTTTGAATTTTTCTCTTCAATATGCTTTCACTTGTATTCTCGTGTTGATGTGATGACACAAATAATGAGAATCACATACAAATTGGAAACCATAACCCTATATATAACTTCTATATGTATTTGGTACATCGTCAAATACAATCATAAGGGATCTGTACTTACATATATAATCCGGCTCATACTTTATTTAGATGCCTGAAGCCCAACAATTTAATTCTTTATTAGATCACTTTAATTAGGCTCAACTTTAAGATAGTCTTATACACAATTTATTCCTTATGTAGGCCTACATGACAAATTTATGACCCCAACAATCTCCCACTTGGACCACTTATATTACTAGATAAATGTGTATAACCTTATGATGTTAAAACTTTTGCTATCATAACCAATAGCGTCTCCGAACAATCTCGCTTATTGATTATATCAATATAGAATCAAAGCAATGTTCGTTACAAATATTATAACTAAACCCTCAATAGTCACGTATATCAACACAATCAAATGGTATAGATCAAGTGTGAATGTCTAACATGGAAATTACGTGCAATGTAATTAAAACATGCATATTTCCAACTAATCCTACATTATTCTTTAATGAGATCAACCATAAACTTTAATCATAGTGGAACTGGATTGAATACTTTAATTCTGAAATGAACCGAATATCCATGGATCAAAATATGTGTCTAAAATAGACAACATCCGAAATACAAACTCTCACTAAATTGGCATATCATCAAAAGATGCAATACTCATGTGAGCATTATGCTCATCAAAGACCTTGGGTAATAGCCCATTAGTAAGCAGATCAGCAATTATGGAGTTCGTCCAATTCTTTCCTTGATAACTCGAAACTTGATGTCTATAAACTTTGACATTGTCAAGTTTCTGTTGGAATATAAGACTGCTATTGTCACATAATAACTAAAGTGGACTTTCAAATCCATCCAAAATATACAGTATATTGACAATATTTTGCAGTCATATTCTTTGATCAAAACCAGAATATCTAATGATATCCAATTGGTCTGATTTTCCTGAATGTAATCATGTAATCCTTAGTTCTTTGTAAATACCGAATACCTAATTGGCTGCTTTCCAAATATTCATCCCAAAGTTACTTAAATATCTACCCAACTTGTATCATAATGAAGCGAAATTCTTATTGGTTAATTTATGTTTAATACCACTTGAATTCACATGTAATATTTCTTTATAAGAGGCAATCATATTAAGCAAATATATCATAATCGGATAAAGAACTAGTACCCACAATATTTGAATTAAGAAAAAGCCTAAACTTACTATTTTCAATTGAACAAAAGTAATCGAATTCGTCCAATGTAGAAACAGAAACCAAATTTCTAAAATGATGGTACCACAAATGTCGCTTTCAAATTCAAATAATAAACAGTCTTGATAATCTAAAGTCCTTTTTTTGGTGGAAGAAGGGTGGTACCTCTGAAATTTTATTAACATGTCCTCACTTATGGCGGAGGAATACCGTGGTTACAAATGATATCAATGAAATCAATAAATAAGGAAGTACTAATTCCCTTACAAAAAGAACAAGTTAAAACAAAACTAAAACTAAATGCAAATATGTTTATGGATTTGAGATCACAACCCTTTTGGTATGGACAATTAGACTTGTTCGGCCCTGATATGTCGTAGTAGGTCGGTTGGCCCATATTCCTGGTATCTATAATGATGCCAACCCTCGATAGCAAGTGTATCTGCAACTTGGTTCCCCTCTCTGAAGATGTGGGACACCATATCTCTGTCAAATGAAACGATATCTGCAATCTGTCTGAGTATCCCCTGGATAGGCCACGGTCTGCCACCTCTGGTAATACAGTGAATGGCAACAGTCGAATTTGCCTCAACCCAAATATCTGACAAACCAAGATTTCTAGTCAATAGTTTCCCATCACAAATAGCCCTGAGTTCTGCCTCTAATATCATACATTGTCCATATGAAGCTGAGAAAGCCCCGATACAATTTCCTGCGTAGTCCCTGATAATGCCTCCCCCGCTTGCAAACCCATCCTTGACACAACCATCAATGTTGATCTTGACAGATCCAAATGATGGAAAGTACCACCAAACCATGATAGGGGGAGGAGATAGGGGGAGATTCAAAAAAATACCAAAAAGTATAGCAAGCTGCATGTTATTACGCCAATGTAACGGTCGGAAT